ATCAAAACTCTTTGCATTGTAGATCCTTTGGCAGCTCCAATGTAATTCTTTTGAATAATCGAAGTTCAAGCTTACTTTATAAATTGCTCTAACCGTCTGCCAAAAAATAATAAGCCGTATCCAATTAGAAGATTAAGGACAATGCATCTGCAACATTAACTGAAATAGATATTTTAGATTTATACCGTCGTTTACATTAACGCCATCGTAAGTATATGTACATGCATAAATGCATAGCGCCTGAATAAAGGTTTATTGCTTGTGTAATGCATATAATTTTTACGCATGCGCAGAAAAAATGGTTGCTTTGAGGTCCGATTAAAGCCTTTTGACGCATTTAGTTTATTTGTTGATTCGTGTATAGGTCAGATTGTGCAATCGTAGATGTTTTTTTAAGTGAAAAGAATGCTGTGTACATGGTAGTCTTTGAAATTATGTTATGTATTTATTAAGCGCGGTGTCAATTTTCGTACAGTCGTTGTTGCCTAAATTGTGCATTCGTAGATTTTTTTTAAGTTAAAACAAGATGTTGTACATGCATCTTGGAAATTTATTGTTGTTATGTTTTTATCAAGCGAGGTTGGCGTTTTTCGAGATTCGTTTCTTCTAGATTCTGCATTGTAGATTTTTTTAAGTTAAAATATATCGCTGTGTACATGGATTTGTGAAATTTTGGTTAACTTCACATTTTTGCTATCTAAATTTTTTGGTTTTGTTTCGGATTTTTAGCTTAAATTGTGTGTTCAAGACGCAGTTTTTGCATGTGCGAAAATCACATTTTTGGAAACATTTTAGGCTTAAAGTTTAAAATGTAGACATGTTTAGCGAGAAATTTGGCAACTTGAGGGCACATATCAGAGTAGTTCCATATAAATAAATAGTTAACGTACCAATTATCATTTATAATGCCTTTAAAAAAAACTCTGGATTATCTGAAACATTCCAGTTTTAATTAGTTTGGGTAAGTGAGGTTGTAAAGTAATATCATTTAATATCTATTTAGATCCAGAAATTTACTTTCATATTAAATTTCAATTAACTCTAAACTCAAATGGAAGAGAAACATGCTGATGTAGAATTCAAAATTAGGTGATAAAGCGAGCTAGCTCATTTTGATGTAAATTTTGAACAACTCTTATCTGATTCAAAGGCAATCAAAAACAGATTCCTGCCCCGTTTTACAAAATGATTTTTGTTTCTAAAAAAGAAGCATTCACGCCTGACTGCGCTCGAAATTAATAGAATTTTGTTCAAAACCTACAGATAAAATTGCTTTTTCGCCTAATTTTAAATAACACAAAACTGTCATTATTTTGAGAGTTTCAAGATTAATATTTGTTAACAACTTGTAGGATTCCTCACTTTTATTTTACTAAATGAATATTGAATAACCTAGTGAATTGATAAGTGACTTATCACTGCGTTCACTTAAGACGTAGACTCAAGAAGGGTTAACTATCTTCCATTTCATTCAAATAAGATGAACAGTTGGCCCTTTTCTTGGGCTTGAACTCAAAATAAGAAATAAGAACTATAACTAACTAAGAGACTTAGCCGAAGCTAACACAAGTATCTAATATAGTTGGCCTTGAATTTAAACGAGCCAGCAAAGATCAAAAGGTATGTAATATACGGCCAAGCGTAACAGCTTCAAGAGAGATTTAGCCAAAAGGCAAACACGGGCTACACAGGATTCCTAGCTCTCTCTCGTGAAGTAAGTCGAACCTTCCTTAAATAGTACTTGTAAGTCATTTGCATTCAACATGATTCTAAACACTCATTTTGGTAGGAAGTTGTAAGTGGAAATAATAATCGATAGGAAAGGAATTTAAAATTAAAATATACCTTACAAACACCTCATGATAATCTGCTGCTTACTCAACATGTATTTGCTTAAGTAATTTTTTTCTGTAATAACTTCTGTAATTTCTGTCTTCTTAACAGACACAGTTAAACCCAATGAACAGAATATACAGGTACAGGTACTTTAGAAGTTAAACAACAAAAATCAGCATTACATTTGCAAATTTTCACAAGATCATCGAAACTTTTACCAAACTATCAAAATTATACCTATGAAAATTTGCAAATATAATGCTGATTTTTGTTTTTTGACTTCTAAATTAATATTTGTTTGGCATGTTATTTTAACCAAAAATACATATATGCTATAATACAGAAAATGTCCACAAAAATTTAGGCATTTGTTATGTGTTGAAAATGAAAGTCTGAAAAACATTTGATTTTGTATCATCGCATAACTTAAAACAGAAGAGAAACACGCCAAAAGAAACATAAAATTAGTATCATGACAGCCTTGAGTTTAGCGCAGATTTATGTCAAGATCTCAATTGATTTTGAAAGCAAGCAGGATGCAAATTTCTTTGCTCCTGACGAAGAGGGACCTATACCTGCTTGCTCTTAAAATTGATTGAGATCTTGACATAAAGATATGTGAAACTCAAGGTTGTTGTATTACTAATTTTACATAACTTAATATCAAGTAACAGAAATTTTAAACTCGAATAAAAAAGCTTTATATTTTTTACATAACAACAGGTCTGGTTTAAGACAGCTAGAGGTCCTAAGACCTTAAAAGACTGTGCCCCCATAACATTAATGCCATCCCCATTCCTTATATTTCAGTTTTGGTTTAGCTGTAGCATATCTTCTATGAGAAAACTGGCAATCAGGAATATTTTTTTGGTACTCCCTTTCCCTCAGTTTCTAATGACCTTTTTTGTGGTACAAATTTTCCCTGATGCCCTAAACACATGCTTTTTTTGCTTAATGGTTATTAATAATACTCTCAATTTCTAAAATATTCCAATAATTAATTCATATAAAAAAAGGTTAAACATAACTGAATGGATTTCTGCATCACTATTTTGCTACCGAATTATCACTAAAGTAAAGTGATCACACATCCTGGTTTTGGCGGGACAGTCCCGCTTTTTGGAGGACTGTCCCGCAGATTTTTAAAAATGTCCCACTTTTTAGAAAACATCTGCACTTCTTATTTTAAATGTTCTGTAAAAATATATTACCTATTATTTATTATTATAGTGAATATAAAGAAATAAAAAAACACATAAAATGCATGCAGGGTAAACTAAATTAGGCAATGTAACGAATTAGATTTACTCGGTTGTTTGATCACTGTTGTTACATCTCGTGAAGGAATATATATTGTTAACGGAGGACAGCTAGATTAGCTGAGGGGCTATTTGTTTCCACACCATAAACCACAATCAAATTCAGATCAATTGATTGTACTCGCAAATGATCAAAATTTACAACAAAAAATTCAGTGCAAGGTAAACCTCAAGCATTATTGTAATGTTCTTTCACCACATTCGTTTTGACAATTGCCAGAAAGAATTAGATTTAAATGCACATTATGCCATATATTATGATGCTTCCAACCACGAAGATTTAAAATTATTTCCCACAATTGTTTGACTTTTTGATCCAGAAACAGGAATTAAAATTAGAATATTAGATTTTGTTTCATTGCTCATTATTTTTTTCCAATGGCAGATTGTGAACAGTTACAGTTTTGTAACAGAGTCCACTAATCTATACTAAGGCCAGATATGGTGGTCTCTTATAGAGACATCTAATAGGTGGGCCACCATCACCTTTTCTATGAGGGGCGACATTTAACCATGCCTTCTCAGGGATTCGAATCCAGGCCTTTCGGCATGCAATCAGCTCCCTAACCACCATACCGTCTGGGCGGCTGCCGGGTGAAGCTTCAGAAATAATTTTTGATTCAATAAGCACTATTTAAAAAAAGGTTTGTTTTATTTAATTATGGCAAAGCACACTAGGGCCATCTGCCGAAATTTTTTGTTGTACAATGTTTTGATCATTTGCGACGTACAATCATGGAAAACCTTCATGGAAAACTTTGTAAGGGAAACTGGCTAGTATACACATTACACATGGGGAAAACCACGAAAATGGCTATGCAGCCAGCCCGTTCGCAGGATTCGAACCTCAGACCGAACTACCAGTGTTCAGCGACTTTACCACTCGGCCGCTGGTGGGGCCCATTTTAGAAAAAGAATAATTTGAACAATAAAATTATTGCCTATTGTGAGGCGTACGTTAGATTTGGCGTGCTGCTAAATGGGTGCATTTTATAGATTTGCCGCTTAAAGTTTTTACGGTCCTCAAAACGGAATATTACCAATACCAAAATACGATCTGCTGTTTCTGCAGGTACCAGTTAATTGCAAAGCAATCGAGGCTTATCTATCTAAAAAAAAAAAAAAAAAATACGAAGAAGGAAAATATATTTCTAAAGAACATTTTACTGGAAATGTTTTTCTATACAGTGTAAATATTGGTATTATTAAATTTGATTGTAACAGATTGCCTACAAAAATGCTAGTTTAATTTTAATAATCGGTTTGACATACTAGGTAGCCGTTCCACTGAACCGGCTAAATAACTGGCTATATGACATAAAGGATGAGCAGAATAAAAATAATATTTCAATAACACATCAGCCTTAAAATGTTACAATTTTAAAAAATGACAGTCATAAGAATTCACAAACATTGAATCATATATACTAGAGTAAAATCTAACCTTTACTATTCCGACCCATTCTATTGTTTTAATTATTTACCAACAAATTAGCATCACAAAGACGGAGTACACACTTTATACTCCGTGATTAAAAAACACTGAACGAGACCTTATAGAAAAGCTAAAGAAAAAATCTTTTAGCCCGCAGGCGAATTTTTGTTATGATTCTACGGTTGATGTATAATAATATAAAGTGAAATTTATATTTAGCATTAATTTAAATAAGAAGAAAAGCAAGCATTGGGTAAAGATGTTGAAATTTTTCGAATCATAAAAACTTTAGTTTGGCGCATTTTGCATCTGGAAACAAAATAATCATACGATAGAAGAGATTAATTAAGCAATATTACATGTAATATAAATAATAATACATTTATTTCATCCGAATAAAGTGTTTTCTACAAACTTTTAAATATAGAAAATTTATTTCTGACAGTTTGAGGTATTAAGTAAACTGAAAATGGCATCATATAAACAAAATTTCGTCTGTTAGCGATTCATGTGAAATCGGTCGGTAAAATATGCAGGTGAAACTAATTATTTTTGTAATTTATTTGCTTCTCAGCAGTAAAAGAAATTAAAAATTTAATTCCTCATTTGATTTTAGTTGATGTCATATGACACTAATTAATCATTTTAATGTTATATAGGTTCAAAATACGAATGATAGTAGCATCGTAAGCAAGCTGTCATCTGCAAACAAGGGCTATTTTGTAGATGAATTTCTTAATTTTTTTGTTGCAAGAAGTCAAAATCGGTCTCCTATCATCAACAGGTATAATTCTATTGTTTATTATTAGGTTTAGAATTCCTAATAATTAAGAAGCAATTTTTTTTTTACGTCTATTTCTTTCTTTTTGGATTTAAATTTTTAGATGCATTCAAATTATTAATTATAATTCTGTATTTATTTAGAGGCTACTACATTCGATTTAAAGCTATAGATGAAGCTTTTCAGTCCTGGTTTACAGTTGCTGCTTCTTACAAAAATACACAGGTTGTTATTTTATTATGTTTGCTCTACTTTCTTTATAGACCTGCAATTGTTTTAACATTCACTGTTAATATAATTTTACAGACTATAAAAGCTTAAAAAAATTCAACCAAATGAAATCAAGCCAAATTTATGTGAAATTTTGGCCCACCATTAGGCAAGATAAAAGGACTTAAACACTGGTAATTTGGGCTGATCTTTTGAATATGGTAACAGGTAGTTTGGCGACATTTTGGAGGCGATAAAGGTTACTACCTAGGACTTTGGGATAATGAAAGTACTCAGTCCGATTAGCATTATTTTGGTGAGGGAAATGTAGATCATGAGATATCCTGTGACATTAATGGACAATTACAGTTCTTTAATCGGAAAAGGGGGTATATATTGTAAAGCTTCATTGTGTGTTCTGTGAAATAGTGTTGATTAATTTTTTGGATTGATGGCGCTATCTAAAGTGTAATTTTTAATGTGTTTATCTGATAATTCAAAAGTTTAATGGTGATGATGTAATTGCAAATAGTTGGAGAGATTGTGTGAAAGGAAGGATATCAGATTTAAATGGTTGCAAGAATCTGGTGAAAATGGACATTTTGTGAACGGAGTGTAAAGGTACGTGGTTTGCTGAAAGTAGTTGCGTATGGGTGAAATTTTTTAATTTCTTATTACTGGGTGATAGACTTCCATTACTACTAATTTCGGATTTAGAAATTAGCAGTAGTACTGCAGCCGATTGGAACGAGGGAAGTGTAAAGAAGATTTCTGAAGAAATTATGTAAGTTAGTATTTTTAATCATTGAGGATATTATTTTTATGCATTGTTCCTAAATTAGGAGTAATAAATTAATGTGGTATATTGGAAAATTGTTACTAGCACTGATTTAGTTTAAAGTAATTAGGATTGTAATCTAATTTTTATTATATGTATGGCTTATTTTATTTTAAGTAGTGTTTTTTAATTTATTATATTTTAATTATGATCATAATTTTGTGAGTTATAGGTTTGTAGTATTTTGGAATACGTTTGAGTAGTATACGTTGAGTATTTTCATGCATTTTCGTGAAATTTTTCTAATTTTGAGAAAAAAGCAGTGGACATGGATATAGTGAAGATTTGCGCACTGCCATTTTTTGGCATTCTTTGATTTTTTTTAGTAAATAAGTCGACTGTCAGTTTGTTCTATTTTTATTAATTAAATGATAGTTATTTTGTGAATTATAGGTTTGTAGCATTTTGGAATATGTTTCAGTAGAAGTAAACGTGCATGAAAATAATTTAAATATTTTGACACTAAGTATTTGTAATGTTTGCGTATAAATCCGTTGGTGACATTTAATATAATAGATATTTAGAGGTAAATTTTTTAATATTTTATTATTTTATACGTGGAAATGTTCATCCTGGAAAGGGTATATAACTTTTTCGCGATAGGTAATTTCGTATATGTTCTTTTACCAGATTTAAAGATTCACAAAATTTTCATGCATTTCGTGAAATTTTTCTAATTTATGACAAAAAAGCAGTGTAATGATAATTTAAGAGTGTGTGCAATGCCATTTTTGTGCAATTCTGGATTTTTTTAAGTAAAATAGTCGACGTGTACATGGTTTTATGTGTATGTGTATTCTGAAAAACGCGCAAGGAGTTTGCAATTGTGCACTTTTTCCCAATTTTGCAGTTAATATTTGTCAGATTAGCAGTTTTGTTACATAAAGTTGTGAACTACTCTGATATGCCCCTCAAGTCGCCAAATATTTTTGGCAAGAAAATTTACGCTGCCATTTACTATCTAAATTTTTGTCTACATTTCGAACTTAGCCTAAAATGTCTCCAAAAACGCGGTTTTCGCACATGCAAAACTACTTTTGAACACACAATTTCAGCTAAAATCCGAAACAAAAACAAAAAATTTAGATAGCAAAAATAAAGTTCTAACCAAAATATTTGACAAGAATCCATGTACACAGCGACTGTTTTAACTTAAAAAAACATCTACGAATGGCAACTGTAGGCACGAACGAATCTACGAACTATGCACACCTCGCTTTAATAAATTAACATAACAATAAATTTCAAGAATACTATGTACACAGCGTTCTGTTTTCAACTTAAAAAACATCTACGAAATTGCACAATTCACTAAAAACAAATCAGAAAAAATAACAAAATAAATTTCAGACAATTCAAAAAACAACAATAAAAACCAAAATTCATACAAAAACAATGAATATAACATTCTACAAAATAAAAACAATAAAATAAAAATGCACTTCCATTATGAAAGCTGCTTTTAAAAGCAGAAATATCTTTCCCCCTATCTCTCAGATACAGAGCATACAAAGTCCAAATACATTCGTTAATAAAATTTCGCCAGTCACACAACGTCTGTGAAGAAAACTTCCACAATTTTGCTATATCACTGCCGGTTGATCTTTACATTTGTAACTTAGCGATTTTTTGCGAAAATTGGCAACCAACTCTCCTACAGCAACCCTCATTTTTTTTCCTGCCGCCATTTTGTCTTCACGAAGTAAAGAATGTTTGTTTCTTTTATCTACTGAACACTTCTTCAACAATCTACTAGCCGAATTACACTATGCTAGAAATTTTATCAACAAACTACTTAATCATGACAAATATTCACTGCAAAATTGGGAAAACGTGCACAATACCATACTCCTTACGCGTTTTTCAAATAACACATACACCTAAACCATGTACACCCGACTTATTTTTACTTAAAAAATCCCAGAATTGCACAAAAATGGCATTGCGCACTCTTCACTATATCCATGTACACTGCTTTTTTCTCTAATTAGAAATTTCACGAAAATACATGACAATTTTCTCAATCTTTAAACCCGGTAAAAAGAACATATATGAAATTACCTGATCGCGAAAAAGTATTTACCCTTTCCAATATGACATTTCCGCATATAAAATAAATAAAATATCCAAAACTTTTACCTCTAAATCATCTATTACATAATACACGTCACCAACGAATTCATACTGCAAGCATTACAAATACTTAGTATCAAAATTTAAATTATTTCCATGCACGTTTACTTCAACTTAAATGTATACCAAATTCCTACAAACTATAATTCACAAAATAACTATCATTTCATTAAAATATCACTAAACCATGTACACGTCGACTTATTTTACTTAAAAAACATCCCAGAATTGCACAAAAATGGCATTGCGCACACTCTTCACTATATCCATGTACACTGCTTTTTTCTCATAAATTAGAAAAATTTCACGAAAATACATGACAATTTCTCAATCTTTAAACCCGGTAAAAAAGAACATATGTGAAATTACCTGATCGCGAAAAAGTATTTACCCTTTCCAAATTAGAACATTTCCACATATAAAATAAATAAAATATCCAAAAACTTTTACCTCTAAATCATCTATTATATTATAAACGTCACCAACGAATTCATACCGCAACCATTACAAATACTTAGTGTCAATATTTAAATTATTTCCATGCATGTTTACTTCAACTAAAACGTATACCAAATTCCTACAAACATAAAATTCACAAAATAACTATCATTTCATTAAAATATAATTAAATTCAAAAACACTACTTAAAATATAATGAGCACATACATTAAATTAATAAAAATTACCTTACAATCCTAATACTTTAAACTAAATCATTGCTAATAACAATTTTCCCAATAATACCAAATTCCTTTCCACTTACATTTAGAACAATGCATAAAAATAATATCCTCAAATATTAAAAATACTAACTTACCTAATCTTCTTCAGAATCTTGATTACGTGTCCGATAAACTTTTCTTCTTCCTAATTCAGGATCTTTAAAATCATACTTATATTTCACAGCAAGGTACCAGGTAAAATAAATAACTTAATAAAACATCTTTATTTCTATCTTGCAGAACCTTAAACAAACATTTATTACTACCCTTTTCAATACCACTAAATACCCATTTCGAATTTACGTTAGTTACGGCCATGGGATCCAAAAATTAAACAACACTGTTTCACACAACACACAATAAAGCCAAATACAAAATTTCCAGATTTTTTCCCGATTTCCCCCCTTTTCCGATTAAAGAACCGTAATTCGTCCATTAATATCACATGACATATCCCATGATCTCTCATTTCCCTCACACAAAATAATGCGTAATCGGAACTGAGTACTGCTCACATTATTACCAAAGTCCCAGGTAGTAACCTTTATCGCCTCCAAAATGTCGCCAAACTACCAGTTACCATTTTGTAAAGATCAACCCACATGCCTTCCTACGATTCAAAATTTCAAAAGTAACAATAAAAACTTCCTCCAACGTTAACTTGCTACACGAAAACCAAGATCCAAACCTTAAACTCCGCTGACACCCACATACTTTATTAGCAACAATTTTACTGCAACCCACACAAGTCTATCAGAAACACCATTTTTCGTTAGAGTTCTCATATCAGCTCCGCATTTCGGACACATCAAACTCCGTTTTAAAAGTCCCGACTCCCACAGAAATTCCAAAAATACACTACGATCCCCATAAATACAATCGTGCCAAAAACCAGCACCAAAAATAATATCGCCACATTTGGTGAAATTAGGGCATTTATCAGAGTTGTACAAAAATTTCTAGCATAAGTGTAATTCGGCTAGTAGATTGTTGGAAAAAGTGTTGAGTAAATAAAAAGAAAAGAAACATGTCTTTACTTCGTGAAGACAAAGTGGCGGCAAAAAAAAAAAAAAAAAAAAAAATAGAGGGTTGCTGTAGCAGAGTTGGTCGCCAAATTTTCGCCAAAAAATTGCCAAGTTACCATAATCCAAAGATCAACTGTAATTTGATCTGAGTTCAGATCCCAATGAAGAGGCTAATTGCATAGAGCATATGTACTCAAACTGCAGGCTTCTAGCTCATTTAGGGTTGCAAGGTGTATAAAAGTGCAAATTGATAGCATATAACTAAGGATCGAAGCTCTGAATAAGGGTTATAAAATT